TTTCAGCTTCCTTACACCAAAAGCTAGAAGTTAGGGCTCTCCCTTACTCCTTACTCCACGCTTACTCCACGTATTGTAGACCACGCATAAAACCTATGTGGTCTCGTCTTCACCCGGGCCTTTGGCGATCTGTCTATTAATCTGTGCTCAAACGATTGCTCCCGAATTGCTCCATTAGAATCCACAATTGCTCCACTTCGATGCGCCGTCGCGCGGTGTTTAATACTGATGGGCACGCATGCTGCTTATTCGGTAACTCGCCGCTCTTATCATACTATGGTACGACGATATCAACCAGCGTCGTGCTGCACGAGAAACACGCGTACTAAAGCCGCTTTGTGTGGCTGTTCTGTTGAATGACAGCTGTGAGCGACGGATAGGACGGTCATCGGATATGTCATAAGAAATACGGAAAAGCAGCGATGACGATAAGCGGCAGGAAATCCGAGTCGGAACGGCGGAGTCGGTTCGCATGATCGGGGAGAGATTTGTGGAACTTGACGCAATACGAGCATCATGTGCCCTGTACTCTTGGAGAACGAGGAACGTTGTCTGGGTGGCGTGACCTTCTTCGCGCAAAGCCACCCGGTGGAGGTGTGCGGTAGCAACGGGCTGCCGCTCACGCCGAACTCCATAACCATCTACGGGAAGGCGCAGTTCCTGAAGACCGTCTACCATCCGCATCTCTCCCCTTATCTCGATGTAATTAGAAGCAAGCACGGTGAGTCCTTGGCCGGCTGCGAACAAGTGCGTCCACTCGCGGGAACTGTAATTATTGTCAAATTGGTAAAGATACTCGTCAACGGTGGGTCCGGGTTCAAATCCTGGCCGAGGTGATATCTTTCACAGTGAATTCTTTCCGCACAGTGAATTTAAGGCCGCATATTAGCACAAAAAAATTAAATGCGTATGTGAATTTGCTGTTCCGATGAGTAAGGACTATGTTTTGAGAGACCGGCAAACAATAGGCGCGCAGTTTACTGATATTGGAGAAAGTATACAAAATGTATAATTTTTGTACTATTTTACGCGCATTTGCAGAGAGGATCGTGGTCGTTGCAGAATACAGCGGGGATCCTTTGAGCACCAGACATGACCTAAGTACAGAGGAGATCGTCAAGATAGCCTTTCAGAGTCTCTTGGCGCTGCAGCACATGAACGAGCTGGATCTGGTGCATAGACACTTGAGTCCAGATAACATATTGATTAAGAAAAATGGCGACGTCCAGTTATACAATTACGGATTGTACTACATGACAGATGGAGGAAAGAACGTATCTTTCCCAATCGGGTACTTTCAGATATTCCCCTGTACCAATGTTAATATCAATGGAGTTACCGGCTTGTCATGAAATTTGAAGTAAGATATTCCTCTTTTTCAGCTCTCCAAAGTACACGGCACCGGAGGTATTTCTCACTTCCGGCCCAAGTGGCGTTAAAATAGATTCCTGGTCTTTGGGGATGATCATAGCGGAACAGCTGTTGGGGCAGCCCATTTGGCCCGGTGTAAAACTGTCCCAGTGCTTGAGGAAAGTATTGAGCTTAATATTGTGCAACACCAGCATATTCGAACGTCTTGCCAGGGAAAACAATTGTTTCGACGCTTACGAAGTATGGATTTCCCATAGCGCGTTACAAGTCGTTTACATTACAACGATATATATTTTGTAACGTTGTATCTTTCGCCATGCAGAAGTTGCCAAAGGAACTGAAGGAATTCGTCGATTCGTGTCTGCAAATTTATCCCATCAGGCGCAAGACTCCGGAGGAATTGCTGGAGCTGCCGATATTCGCCGAACACTTAACGCGATGTACGCAGGAGAAGGAGGAAAATCTCTATAAAAATGTTATTGTTAGAAAGATGGACGAGTTGTATTATCTGTGGCAATTAGCCGGCGGTGATATTACTGTGGAACTAAAGAAGCAGAGTCTCATTAGATCAAGGCCACCTATCTTATCTATTCCAAAGTAATTTAAAAATGCGTATATGTGAAGGAAAGTCCCATATTATGCGATAGGTTCCTAATACGAGACAGCGGAGTTCCTGCTAAGTTAATGGGCATCGTCTATTGGTTCCACTGTGAATTTATTATCCTTGGAATGAAATCTGTTTAGTGAAAAATTCATTGTTAGATCATGCAATCGTTGCGAAAAGAGATTTGTGATTGAATTTGGACGTTAAAAACCTGTTGTCTCATATTGGAAGATTATCTTTTAACAGAGAACTTCCCTCTACACGCGTAATAATCATTAATTCAGATTGTTTCATGGGACTTGCAATGATAGATAGATAATTACAACAAATATTTGAAATTTCCTCTGTTTCAGCTTAGTCATACTACTGGGCCAAATGTTCGGTCAGAGGGACACTGCTAGTCTACTCGACGTAAGAGTCGTAAAAGTTCCTATGGAGACTCTTCGCCAGCGTTTAGCTCACATCCCGTACATAGCAAACTATCCGTGGTTGACAAATCAGTTAGTCTATTTATTCTTGACTCGTCTTACAATTAGAATTTATTCCAATATCGCAAAAGTGTTATAAAGATTTCACGTTGCAGAATGCGAGTTCAGGCACAGGAAGATCTAACGAATGCCGCGTCTCAGTTGCCATTAATCATAAGGGAGCGTGACACGGAGTATCAGTTTTACAGGCTTGTCCTGTTTGGTAGACTCTTGCAGGCTTACCCGCTCACTCAGGAGGCAATTATCGAGGAGGCACACAAGGATATACCGCCTCTGGTCCGAGGTGCCATATGGGCAGCTTTGCTTGGTATCACCGGCGACATACATAAGCGTTACGACATGATTGATAAGGAAACGCCAACGCACACTGATCGGCAGGTATAATCGCCGCACATAATAGGCCTGTTCTTTATTACTGCACTACTGAACTAGTGCAATAAGTTAAAATGAAACAAATAGATTACCTCTCATTCCAACTCATTGCACCAGTGTGCACTAGTTCAGGAGTGCAGCAATAAAAAAACAGACCCAATATGACGCTCGACATATAAATGCATTTCGCTGATAATTTGGTAGATAGAGGTGGATATACCGAGATGCCATCAGTACAGTGAGTTACTGTCGTCTGGTGCCGGACACGAACGACTGCAGAGACTGCTAAAGGCATGGGTCAGAAATAATCCACATTATGTCTACTGGCAAGGGCTCGATTCCCTGACAGCGCCGTTTCTTTATCTGAATTTTAATAACGAAGGTACGACGCGTCCAACGTATACTTATGTTCCTTAGTTTGTCATTTAAATTTGGTATTTCAGCTCGGGCTTTCGCGTGTCTGTCGGCCTTCATACCAAAGTATCTCCACAAGTTCTTCCTGAAGGACAACTCGGCGGTGATACAGGAGTATCTGGGCAAGTTTTCCCAGATCATTGCATTCCACGATCCTCAACTAGCAAATCATTTGAAGTCCATAAACTTTGTACCGGAACTCTTTGCCATACCGTGGTTCCTAACAATGTTTTCACGTAAGTTTTTCTGTACGCCTTTAACACGCCGCATTATTCATCGTAATCTTACCAAAGATCACTAACGTTTCAGATGTATTTCCGTTGCATAAAATATTGCATCTATGGGATAAGTTATTGCTTGGAGACTCGTCGTTTCCTCTCTTGGTTGGATTAGCGATATTGAAGCAACTAAGAGACTCCTTGCTAATGTCGGGCTTCAACGAATGTATTCTTCTGTTCTCCGATCTGCCCGAGATTGACATAGAATTATGCGTTAAGGATTCCATGACAATGTATCAAAATACACCCGCTAGCATTACCTACCGAAAACACCAATACAATACAGCGAAGGTACAGCATCAATTGATGTCCGATTTTTCATCGCCTGCATGTTATTACATAAAACTCTCGACTTGCAGGACGCAAATTGGATTGAGCCCGAAGCGGGAACCGAAAATATGCCAAGGATAAGTGTAGACGACTTTTTAAGTCTCTACAACTCGCCGAGTAAAGTTATAGTGGTTGACGTACGTAGCAATATACAGTGAGTATTCGTTTTCGATTGAAGCAAGTACAGCGGCTGTTTGTTACTGTGATAACAAAAATTCCGTTGAGAGAATTTCCTAAATTAATAATCTACCTTCGACAGATTCGAGAGAGGTGCTGTTCTCGGCAGTATTAACATTCCATTCACGAGTGTGCAATTATCTCAAACTCACATCGATACACTCAGGCCGCACGCAAAGCCGCTGATAGATAATAAAAGCAACGCCGTTGTGATTATTGGACCGCATGATCAAAACAATGCGTTGGTAGGTAAATCGTATGAGGGAATATCGAGACCCAGAAATGTAACGAAAAAAAGCACTGAACAACTACTAGAGTTCAGTAATTGAATTATTAAAAATTACTGATGTACAGTAATTTTCTAGTAATTATTTTTACTTACATTTCTATTAGGGGAGATTTGCTCTAACGTATTTTCTAATAGTTTGCAGATTTTCTGGTGAAATGTAATGTCATGGGAGTCTGTTCTCTGCAGGGCGGTATTAACGCGTTGCGCTCCAAGTCCCCGAATATCATAGTACCTGTACGCTAATTGAATTATGTAACTGAATCACTATACGTATAATACTCAGACTTATTCATCGATACAGTACAATCGATGCTGTATAACTTGTAAAATCTTGTACAATTTTGTTATAAAAGGTTTTCAATGTATTGCGTGATTTGATTATTCACAAAGAATATTCTATGTACACGCTCTCGTATGTGTGTGTATACCTCCAGTTGCTATGGCGACGAATGTCAAAACTATGGTTACACGTGCGTTTCGTTGCACCTGTTTAATTCTACTTGCATAACAATTAGCTCAGATAAATAAGCATGGACAAAGGTGTGCCACCGGATCTTCAAAAATGGCTGAGAAAATGTTTGAAGAAGGAGTTCGGGAAAACTATACAAAGCGCAGTGGACAAGGAACAGGTGCCCAGCGATATCGCTTACAAACTCACGCATTCGAAGGACATGACTGCTTTGCTGAGTTCTATGAAGAAGGTAATCACCGAGCAGTACGCGGTGGTGAAACCCTCATCCGCGGCGTCGCAGTCGCAGTCATCGCTTTCCTTCGCGAGCGATCTCGCGGCGGACGATTGGGCCTCACCGCAGGGAAACGGAGAGGAGTACAGCTGCATCATCGACAAGATCAGTCGCGATAAGCCGGTCCACGTGAGATTGGCTGGTTACGAAATTTTATTAAAAATCGAATTGTCCAACATAAATAACAGCTCTCAGTGGGACATTCTCCAGAAGACGCTGCTGGATGGTCTCACGGATGACAGCAGGGCGATATTCGAGGCCAGCATGCAGGTACACGCAAAGCTGCTGAATTGCTCGCAATTAAATTACACCTACGGCAACTTATTGAGCGCGTTCAACGCGCAATATCACTCGCAGAAGGTGCGCGAGACTCTGCCCACGCTAATCTCTGGAATTAATTTCAAGTTTTTCTTGCACGAGAAACTGTTTTGCATAATGCACCTGATAATTCGCTATCAGGAGGAAATGTTAAAAAACACCAGACATAGCGACAAGACAGTAGAAGAAGTTATAGAACAATTTATAGTATTTCTCAGTACGCACAGCTTTGGCAACTCGTTGCAGCCTAAAACCCTCAACATGTTGAACATCATCTCGGTGTTGGAGCCGCAGGCCAAGTGGAGCAAGAGGTGGCTTCACAGTCTCTCTACGAGGAGGACTTTCATCGCTGTCCTGGCCAAGTCTCCGACGTTTCTGCAGAACGTCGTCGAATGCGTTAAGAATGGTTTGACAGAAACGCCCTGTTCCTTGTCAATCTCCGTCATGGATGAAAGCAACGAGCTGTGTATTTCTGGCATTACGATAGAAACCGCGACCTATCTGCATTCTTTGACCCTCGTCTCGCAGCTCTGCAGCTACGAAGCGGGCAGAAAATTGCTCGCAGAGAGTTTGTTAGAAGCGCCATTTGACGTGGCTGAGTTTTTAATAGAACTGCTGAGCTCCCTGAATAAATTAGCAGCAGAAGCACCCAGTGGAATATACAATACTTCTTGCGATGCTCTTCAAAATATACTTAATATCTCAGATATACTGTACAATGTTGAATTTTACCATGCTGCGTTGTGCCGCCTGACGTCTCTTTCTGAAAATAATATAAAGATTTGGCCGCATATATTAAATATTATTTCTCATATGGCGAACACGGTAGACGGTTCGGCATTTTTGACCACGAATTGTAAAGAACATTCGATAAATTCCGAAAATGCACCGTCGAAGTGCCCAGTTGCAGTCATAATGCAATATGCGTCGAATTTATTGAAACAACCGTTTTCTATAATGGATATGAAATGTATTCTAGATTCATTTAATCTAGTAGAAAAATTATTCGACATTTATGACGTTTACGAGGCCGCGCAGGAGCAAATTGAAACGCGGTTCTATCCGGCCGTTGCTAATTTTTACAAAAGATTAAACAAGTGCAGCGTCGAGAATGAGAATAAAATTCAGCAACTCGACAGGTAATTTAGATAGAAAAAAGACAGATTGTATCTCTCAAACGATCGAAACTTGCAACAATAATCTCTGAAATTTTATTGCAGTGTTGTTAAAAAAGTTTTACTAAAAATGGTATCAATACCGCTCGGGTTGCAAGCGCTCGTTAATCAGAAAATAGTGTTCGAGGAACTGATCCGTGGGTCACTCGCTCCTCTAAGAGTGATCTGGAATTTTACCGATATAGTTAGTTTTATCTCATCGGCTGGTTACTTCGACTTGGGCTACAATGTACTCGCAGATCTCGGGCCCCACGTCCTGTCGACTTTGCTGTCGCAAACTTGCACAAACGCAGAGGATCCCAATTTCTTTTACGATCCTTGGGACAGAGAAAACATCGACGAATTTCTGCATATACTTGCATTGTTTTCCCTCAATTTTAATTGTAAAGAGTTTGAAATAACTGTAACAATATTTTTTAGATTGATGGCAGAGAACGATCCATAAACGTATAAATCTGTCTTACAAGTCGTAGACGTAAGGCAAGGTAGAGAAAAAAAGTCTATGACTAAGACAGATTTAAGCGTTTACGGATCATTCTCTACCATCAGCTTTATTATACGAATTATTGAGGGACGTAGAACGTATATCCATTAACAGGTTTCGCCGCGTTTATGGTGACTGACAGCGAACTGGATAATGACGAGGAAAAGGATTATCCCTCGAACTTATCTGAATTATTACAGGCTGCAACAGATAAGGATTCAACTTTCCATCATTTAGCTCTTTTGTCATTGAATACAGTAATTTGGAACTTAGACGCTGGTGCTTATTTATTAAACTCATTGAAGTTCCAGGTAATATATACATGCAACAGAAGCGTGATTATACATGTATGTGATAATGCAATTTTTAGGAAGCGCTGTTAGATATTCAAAGGGACAGCACAATTGTGATTGAAGTTCGCAAGGAACAAACCGATGAGATTGACGAAACTGACTATGAGGAGACAGAGGACAACAATGACGATGATGGTAGTGATGAGCCAAAGCCGAGGAAGGAGTACATAATTGACGATTCCAGTTTCCTGAGACATAACATTTTATTAAAATTATATTACATGACGTATCAAAGAAAGCAATATGTGATACCATTTGAGGAATATGAACTCTTTTCGGAATTTCCACCTCCGAGAGTATACACGGATATGATGGACTTCCGGGAAATCGAATGCGATTCGGAGCTAAACGATCTACTGCAGGAGGAGAGGCTCGGGTTGCTGGACATCAGTTGGGTTTTGCAAGTTAGAGCGGCTCATAAAGCATCGCGATCTCCGATTAAGGTAATGATCATAAAAATAAACTTGATATACAATTACAATTAGAAATTATGGAAATAATTTTTACCTTAGAATTCGATGATGATAAGTTTGTTGAGTCAAATGCACAAAGCCATTCCAACCGCAGAGTGGGTGGAGCAATTTGAATGGCAGGAGAATATAACGTACGACACGGACTATTGGCTTCCAGAAGACACGCATGCAATTGACATAGTTTTAAATTATGCTGAACAACGAGAGATTTTAAAGAACAATGACGTCAGCCAAAAGAGTTTAAAACAATTCATTCATTCTGCCTACATATATATACAGTACAATAAACCGAATAGGTTCGAAGGTTTTGATTGGTTCTTGGCAACAGTGTTCATTATCTGTGATGGAGATTTGGCCAAGTATGTGACTTGATATAAGAATCTCAAATAATTCATTTATTACTGCAGGAAGTAAATCATTAGCACAAAAATATGTTTGAGCCTCAGCTGACCGCGAATTAATACTTGGACAGCTTTATTTAACTTCCGGTGTGGTCACGTATAGTGGCATGCTTGTTTAACCCGTTAAGGCCGAGAGAGCCAATATTTGATCTAACATCTTTTGAATTTCTAAAGAAGTTGGATCAGATATGACCATCTCAGCGTTAATCAATATTTCTTTGCGATGTTTTAGTCACAAAGAAATAAATGGATTAAGCAAGCATTTTAAAGCTATCAACAACAGTGATTAACTCAAGCTAGTCAGATATCATCATTGGCAGGTCTCAGATTGAAAACTTGGTTTTCACCGGGTCAACGTTTCTTTTTCATCGACCCTCAATATTTCTTTCTCATCATCGACCAGTCATCAGATAATATACTAATTAACAATAATTAGACTATAGCAATATTGATTATAGGTGCAAAACTTTTATCATGCAATTAATTCAATTTCCATCGACACTGCTGCTCTGGCCGAAATTGGGCAAAGTTATCGATGAAAAAAATAATGAAGGCACTAGTTCGCAGTTCACTTTTATGCAAGTTTTAGAAACCATGGTTAATATCGAGCTTCCAAACATCAAATATGGATTGAAGGTGATTGAATTTTAAAGAATTAAAAAATTTAGTTACCCAAAAGTATAACGCCTCGACTTTCACACAAAAAGGACGTCTTCGGTGTCGATTGGTGGATGATATTCAATAGGATGTTATCACAATGCTTCTGGGGAATCCTTCCGTGGAGCGAAATAGTTCATTTTTTTGCAATTTGCATTTTGTACCCTTCCGATTATATGGTATATTATTCCGTATCGCTTTTGCAATTCTGCCAGGAAGAGTTGCTGCAGGACTTAACAAGCAGAAAAATGTGGCCGGAAAATATGGTATGCACACGAAATGTAGTTATTTACATTTAATGTCATTAAATAACTTGCCAAGTGCTCTTTCTACAGATACTGGACGAATATCGCTGTCATAATTACATTACGTACATGGATAATTTAGGTCAACGATATAGAAATCGGGTTTTACCGGCAATGACTAAAAATTTAAATTCAGAAGACGAAATATAGACATGCATATCTAATCATCTAGGTACTCAAAAAGTAAGAAAAGGAAAATGCATATTATCGAGTGTTTAAAAAAATTCGCATTTACGCGAAAGAAAATACCTTATAGATCTTTAACACTAAACTAATTGTACATCAATAAAACGACGTATGTATATAACGAGTAACAATTGGCGTTGTAACTAATAAAAATTCCTCTTTTCTATATAAATACTCCCAATTAGCATTAGGTGTAATGAGTGTATGTACACTTTGCACGCGTGCGAACATTTTGTGTACAGATTGTATTTAGAAATTTTTATGTATACAACATATGACCGATACTCATGTAATTCGCATTTATCTACGAAATTCAACGATATGCGAGCTTTCGTTTGCAGGTTTTTCAATGATAATACCTCAGACACAGAAGTCAGACATCTTTTTACATATACGATACAATAATCTCTTACTATTGTCATTTACTCTCTTATTTGTTAACCAAGTAATCAATCTTCGTGAATTGTAAGTAGCTTTGCTACTTCATTTAAATCGTCGTACTTTGTGTTTCCTGCAAGGACCTGAAACAGTATAATTTTATCCAAATAAAGTAGGAGTATTTGAAAAAAATGATAGCACAAATATAGAAACGACAAATTTACCCGTCTGGCAATCGACATTCGATTGAAGATATTCCACAGTACTATTCCTACTACAACATCATCTCGCAGATAGAAAACAACGCCCTTCCCAAAATCTTCGAACTTCGTAGGTTGCTCTGACTTGATGTCATCTCCAGATATTTCTTTCTTTCCCTCTTCCGCGTTATCAACACTTTTCACAATTTGTGACACTGATGACTCCGATTTTTCATTAGATCGCAAATCTTCAGAATTTGTCTTTTGTTCCTATGAGAAACAATACGAGAGAAATCTTAGTTTCACAATTGAATCGCATTTCACCGCGAGGTTTACTTACATCGAAAGAATTACTTACATCGCTAGAATTATTAGCTGACGTCGTGTTTGCTTCCGCCGCTTTCGCAAAAACTCCAACAGTTGGTAAAGATGAGTCTATAATACCTGTCGCTTCGTATCCTACATCAGGTCCCAAGTCGGACCAAAACATTGATTGATGCAAATAAGGTTTACCTAAAAAGAGAAATTGGTTTATATTTTGATGCTTTCACAAACTTATATATACATATATGTATAGAAATACAGGGGGTGGACAAAATAATTTAAACACCTGACTAACACACAAATGTGAACACCTGACTTACTACGTAAAGTGCGCCACATGTAAGCGCCGCACCGTTCATATCTTGGCAGCGGATCCAACATAAACAAATGTGTAATATTTAGCATGGTGTTCACATTATTTTGTCCACCCCCTGTATATACATACAAGTATAAATTTAACGCATTACCTGCACCGGTCATATTTTCGCCCGCTAATCTTCCAGAGGTAACCGCATGATCATGGTGTTCTACTCTTCTTCTGCCAAGTTTGACGTCATAGAAACATGCGGCGTCACCGGCAACCCAAAGGTTGCTTCTCGCTTCCAATTCAGCGTTAACAAGGAATCCTCCTACGTTAGGTTCTGTCTCTAAATTAGAAGTTGCTGCCAAATCTGTATTTGGTTTAACACCTACCGCTATTATCACTTGATCAGCATCAATCTATTTACCAGAAAAGAAAAAGAAGAAATTTGAATTAACGAATGTATTTAATTAATCACGTGAAATTAGACGAGTCTTTTCAAATATATCAACATACAGTCTGACCACCAGTGAGGATAAGGGATAATCGACCATTTTTGTATTTGTAATCTTGGACTTCTGCGTTAGGTACAGTGCGAACACCTTCTGCTTCAGCCTTTCTCGTAGTCCACTCACTCAAATATTCAGGCAAAACTTGTGCCATTATGAACTTTTCTTTATAAATTTGGAAAATATTTTTAGATTTACCTATAATAAAATACACATATTTTATCGTGAATAAATTCTTTCAAATATTTTAATAATAAATTTAAAAAATGTTAGTGTTTAAATAATTTTAATTTTAAGTCTATTGCGAAAAATCATCTCTGAGGGAGATCCAGGCTCAAACCCTTAGCTGAGGTATTATTTTTTGCAATAGACAAAATTAAAGTTATTTAGGCCAACATCCTGTCTTGACTCTTGCTCCTTTATTACTTCATATTTGTGTTCTCACATTAGAACCTTATGAATTTTATTCCTTAAATAAAAAGAACTTACAACTCCTAGCGAGAGCGCAGGAGAGTTCCGAGCCGAGAAATCCACCACCGATAACTACAATATTCTTACATTTTGAATTAGAAACGTTTCTTTCCAAATCGAGAAAATCGTCCTTTGTTCTAAACGTTGTAACTTTGTCTTTTACAGCGGCCTCGGCGGATTCAAATATTGGCAGAGTTTTAGGTGACGCGCCTGCAAAAATTCAGATTTAAATTTTAAAAGATTTTGTTTAATAATTTTCTTACCGAAACCTACCGGTCGCAATGAGGCATTTGTTGTATTTGATTTCATATCCATCTTGAAGAGTTACAGTTTTATTTACAACATCGATTTTTGTTACTTTCCAACCCATAGCTACGGCAACTCCACCCTTATCAGACTCCGTGAGATGAGTAACGCTCGAGTAGAACTCTTGTGGCTCGTAGAATATACTGTAAAATAAATATAAATATTCTGTATGCAAGGAAAAAAGATATTTGCATTAACAACATAACCAGAAGACCGCAGGCTTGAATCTAGCAAAATTTACCTTCTCTGAGTTCCATTCCACTGGTTAAAGCGCAATTGTGCGGTTGTTTCGCTGTCCGTGTTATACCAAAGCTCCTTGGACAACGGCGGCCTCATATACGGAAACTCCTCCTCTTGCGCTACAACTAAAACCTGGAAGAAAGTTCTTATGTACACAAATAGAAAAGGAAAAAGTATAAATCCGTTAATAATACCTTAGCTTTGGGATCTCTAGATTTAATTGACCTAAATGCCGAAAATGCAGCCGTTCCTCCGCCTATTAACAGATAAGGTACCTCCTGGGGTATTAACTTTGATTCTGCTGGAACCTTTACCACGCCTCTAGATCTCCAGTGCCTCCTCCCTTCTTTCTTTTCTGTAAGAACGAACGGGATACGTAAGCAATATATTTCCTCAACATTTCAATTATTGCGTCAAATAATTCCCGATTTAACTTACGCTTGCCTTTTTGTTGAGCTGCCTCGTCATCTTTCGACAAAAACGACGAGGATACCTGTAAAATAAGAGTTATAATAAACGCGGTTCTCAGTAAAGTAAAAACCTTTTTCACATTGTATCACCTTGTACGCAACTCCTGTCACAATCAAGGCAGTGAGCAGGTGCCAGTAGCGGAACTGATATTTCCCATTTTTGCCAGAATCCGAGCCTTTCTCGCTTGGTTGCTTCTGCTGGCCGTTTGGCTTGCAGATACCTTCTTGCGACGCCGGGCAAGTCGCTTCAGCTTCGCAGGGAGGAACTGTTTTCCGCGAATTGGAATATCTAGAGTCGGGCACACATTCCTCTGGCTTGACGGTGGTGCCTGGCGGCTTATGCGGTTTCTTGTTTCTCGCATCGCTGCTGTAGCAGCGTAAGGTGCTAATATTTACAACTCCTGCAATGTTTTCAATTAACTATCAACGGATTATTAAGACAACAAAATATATTGAGTATTAAAGGAACAGTAACTCATTCTCTCTTCCTCTTACAAACATCTAGACAGCAATTCGCAATAAAATGCACAGAATATATCAATCATTATTTTAAGAGAACAACAAAAATATCCCACGAATGAGGAACATAAAAATGCAAAGGAGACAAGTATTTATTGCGTCTACAAACTTTCCGTCTACAAATTTGGGACTACGTATCCAGGTTATGTCATTCGCCGCCCACTTCGGGGCGCGCACGCCGCGTGGAAGATTGTAAACACAGCTCCGGTGATCCAACCGTAATTATCGCTCGCGAGCTTACGCAACCGCAGTTCCGGGTACAATTGAGTACAAGGTGAGGGGAAGAAAGAAGAGGAAAGCGAGGGCACTCTTTAATCGAGAGAAATTGTAAAACAGGCGGGAAATGAGATCGTCCCATCGAGTCCCGAGGTAGTACGCGAGGGGCCTGGAAGGGCACGGAAGGAGGAAGAATCGCCCCTACGGCCGATACGCACCGACGTATTTTACAGGTAGATGGAGGCGACTGGCGTGTGTGAGCCTGGCGGGCAGTCGGCCGACGATTCTACCGCAGGCGAACATCTTCGCCGGAGCCGGTCGTTCTCACGCAATATGGTGGCGCCTCGTCGTGTTTCCCCCCTCAGCTGCTGCCGCCGTCGTTTTTACCGTGAACCGAAAGGATGCTCGCCGGGAGGACGCACGTCGCGCGACACGCCATTTACCTGGACTCTCGCCTCCTGTTTCCGAAAGTCGCACCGAGACGCAGACGGACAACTCCTTCGCACGGTCTCGGAGAGGCCGGGTGGGTGGGCAAGACACGTGAATTTAGAACCCGCTTCGTGGCGGCGACACGCGCGCGCGTACAGTCGTGAGCAAAGAGGTTGCGACAATCTCTTTTTAATGAGTTTACGAACGCGTGATCAACTTCAGAATGCGAATCCACTGTCCGCACTAATGCGCGATGAGCGATCATAAACTTTTATAGTCTTATTTATTTATTTATTTTATTTATTTTGCTTATTTATTTTATTTTATTATTTATAATCTTGATTTGTTTGATGTTATCTCATTCTATCTTAAAGATTTTTATTTCACCTATGAGCCGCATAGAAAATTTAAGTTATGTTCTACATTCATGTTTTGCAAATTTTATTTTAATTGTATATCGTATTCCTAATCTATGAATCTGTATAATCTTACCTTATATCTTATTTTTATAATATTTTCATTCAAATTTAAATTTTTCGCCTACGTGTACTAAAGGGTTATCCCGTAAATAAAGACTTATTTATTTATATTTATGATGGAAATTTTGTGAAATTCTCGGAAAAACGGAAAAATTCGTGGAAATTCCGCGAAATTCTCGGAAAAACGGAAAAATTCGTGGAAATTTCCCGAAATTCTCGGAAAAACGGAAAAATTCGTGGAAATTCCGCGAAATTCTCGGG